CGAGAGACCAACAGAAGCAGAAGACACTCTAGCCAGGGGCACGAACCCCATCCCAGGGTGAGCCCGTTCCCACGGGTGCTTTCCTGGCACACCTGCACCAGACCTGAGAAAGGAAAGTGCAGGAAGGGGTGTGTGTGTGTGTGTGTGTGTGTGTGTGTGTGTGTGTAGAACCAGTGTTAAAAATAAGATTTCCTCTGCAGGAGATAAAAATTAAAAAAAATTTTTTTTAATGTTTATTTTTGAGAGCGAGAGAGACAGAGCATGAGCAGGGGAGGTGCAGAGAGAAAGAGGGAGATACGAATCCGAAACAGGCTCCAGGCTCCGAGCTGTCAGCACAGAGCCCGATGCGGGGCTGGAACTCAAGAATCTAGAGATCATGACCTGAGCTGAAGTCGGAGGCTTAACCAAATGAGCCGCCGAGACGCCCAAACATTAAAAAAAAAAAAAAAAAAAAAAAAAAAGGATTGTACATTCAGTCTGGGGTGAGGGGGGAGGAGAGGGGAAGATACTGTGCTTTTACCTCTTGGGGAATATTTGTCTAATTGACCCTTAAGTATGGTAAGGATAGAGTGGTTCCTTTCCCAAGGAAAATTTCACAGGGATTTATTTATTCCTCACCGGAAACCATGAAAACCGTGAGCGAAACGCTCCGAGATCCACAGGCGATCAGAAATCCACGCTGCTGGTGTTCACGGCACAAGCGGATCTTCCTTCGAGGATTCTGTCCCCCAGTGCAGAGCCACTTAGAGATGACCTGTGTCTGGGTCTTCTGTGCCTCAGTCCACGTGGAGGACGTTAACAGTCCCACAAAAGGAAGGACTGCAGCCTACCCCCCTCCTGCTTTCCTCTTGTTTTGAAGTGACCGCTGCCCGCCCCACACCTCAAGGGCTCGCCCACTAGGAACCATCTAGAGTAGGGGACTTGAAAGAACAGCGGCGAAACTCCAGGCGTTATCCATCCCCCCTCTTCCATTTTGTGGTGCAGGGACATCAGGAGGGAACACGAAGGGCTTGGAGACCCCTCGTCCAGCCAACCTTCTGCGTTTCCGTAAGAACCCGGCAGGGGGGTCTCTAGTAAACCTCCCCCCCCCACCCCAGTTGGACGGTTGGCTTTGTAACGCCACGGGCACGTTCGCCTCGGAAAGTTTTGGTAACGTTTTACTGCCGCCATAAAGTAGCAGAGTTGATTTAATGAGCTTCTATGCTCCTAGGAAGCGTCCCCGATTCTGGTTAGCCGTAGGAGATGCATCCATTTTGAAGGTTTGTGAAAACATGTAAGGCCCCTGGCCTTAAGAGAAAACCAGATTTACATTCCTCCCTGTCTCAGCAGGAAACCTTAAATCAAAGGCAACCCGCAAATCAACACATGCTTATCTGTCAGTGTACTTGTCCCAGTTTGTAATTAGACGTGTATTTGTGTGGCTCGATGCTGGTCTCCTCATTACGCTGCAGACTGCGGGAGCATCTGGCCCGGTTACCCTTGGACCCCTGGGCCCAGGCAGTGCCTGGCACAGGGGCGTCTGAGTGTCCGGAAGGAAAGGAGGGAAGGAAGAGAGGAAGGCAGGCAGGCAGGGGGAGGAAGGAGAAGGGAAGGGAGCCAGGAGACAGGCAGCGAGGGAGCCGGTCACGGATGGAAGGATTCCTTACAGCCATCCTATCCGGCGCGCGAGGCTCACTTGTTTTTCCCCCAGATATAGAATGGAAAGAAAAAAGTACTATTTTCAATTGCTACTGTATAACTCAAATAGTTATATGTATATATTTTAAGTAGTCTTATATATATATATGTGTGTGTGTGTGTGTGTGTGTGTGTGTGTATATATATATATATATCTTTTTTTTAAGTGGTTTTAGGTGTCGGACAAGACAGGCCCCATGCTTTCGAGGGTCCCCACTCTTGCTGCCTGCCCTCTGGCTGTGTCTCTCCCCACGATAGGTCACAGCAGGACCTCCATGCCCAGAAGGCCGCACCCCCTTCTCAGGGTCTGGGGGCCTCTCCCCGGACAGTTCCTTCCATCTTCCACCAGAAATGTGCCCAAGGTGTGTCAAAGGGTGTGACTGTTGGCAGGGACAGAGCGTGGACGGAGCCGGGGCTCCACACGTGCTCGAGACCCCCTTGTGGTGCGGGACGGGAGGCACGGATCACGGCCAAGGCCAGCTCTCCCTGTGTGGCCAAGGACTGGAACAGAACCACACAGAGGCCGGGGGCTCTGAATTCTAACCTGGCCTTCCAGATCATTATGAAGGTCTATTTGTCTAGGTAGGAGGTTGCAACATATTATGTACAGCAGGTGATACCTTGACTCCTAACTTTTAAATATGTAGCGATATGGTATGGGAGCAAATATTCGCGTGTGTGTATAGTTCTAAAACTTTGCTGGTATCACATCATGATTAAGTGGGAGAAAAGTTTTTTTTAAATGTTTATTTTTGGGGGGGGAGGGGAAGGGGCAGAGAGAGAGGGAGACCCAGAATCCGAAGCAGACCCAGAATCCGAATCTGAGCTGTCAGCATAGAGCCCGACGCGGGGCTTGAACTCACAGACCTCAAGAGATGGTTAACTGACTGAGCCACCCGGGTGCCCCGGAAGAAATATTTTTTTAAGTTCTTTGCCCATTTTTCCATTGGGTTATTGTGTATTTGTTTTTGTTTTTAATATTTGGTATTGTATGATTTCCTTATATAGTTTGGATATTAATCTCTCATCAGGCATGTGGTTTGCAAACATCTTCTCTCATGCCGCCTTCTCGTTCTGTTGGTGGTCCCCTTTGCGGTGCAGAAGCCTTTAGTTTGATGTAGTCCCGCTTGTTTGTTGCTGCTTTTGTTGACTCTGCTTTTGGTGTCCTATCCGTGCCTTCGTTGCCAAGACCAGATGAAAAAAAAAAAGGGGGCTAATGACTCGAATAGACATTTCTCCAAAGACGATACACAGATGGCCAGCAGACACGTGAAAAGATGCTCGACGTGACTCATCGCCAGGGAGATGCAAATCAAAACCACCATGAGATACCCACTCACGCCCGTGAGGACGGCTCTTCTAAAACAAACAAAGCAAAACAGAAGAAAGTTCTGGCAATTCTATGGCGAGAAAATGTGGAATACACGTAAATTAGAGCATCGGTCAGGCTTAAGGAAGGAAGGAAATCTGTTTGTGACGACGTGGCTGAATGTGGAGGATGTTGCACTAAGTGAAATGAGTCCATCACAGAGGAAGGAATACTGCGTGGTTCCCCCTGGAGGAGCCGGCCAGGGTCAGACTCAGAAGCAGAGAGCGAAACGGAGGTTACCGGGGTCCGGGAGGAGGAGAAAATGGGGAGATGTTCAAGTGGTACAAGTTCTTCCAGTTATGCAAGATGAACCCGTTCTAGATTTCTGCCGTGCCCCACGGCACCCGTGGGGAACAACACGGTGTCGTGCGCTCAGAAACTTCAGGGGCTGGATCTCATGCTGTTCTTACCACAGACAAAAGGGACAGCAGGAAACTTCTGGGGGTGACAGATACATCCATCGTCAGGACCGCGGGGACAGTGTCACAGGTGCGTGGATATGTGCAAAGCCGTCAAATCGTACACGGCACACGTGTCCCGGTTTCTGTGTCTCCATTATTTCTCAACAAAGGGGTTTTTAAAAAAGAAACAGAGCTCGCGCTTGGACAGCTGGGTGTGCCTGCCGCTGGCCAGCTCGGGCTCAGTTTCCTCTGGGCGAAAGTATAAATAAGTTAGTCCCCATTTCACTGGATTATTGAGATTGTTGAATGACGGCACCAGCATCATCCTAGTATGTAATAAGTGCTCAAAAATATCACAACTTATTCTGCCTTATTTTACTTCGTGCATGAAAACATCTTCTCAGCTCGTCAGTTATGTACTTTGAGGCCACAGATGAAGTCCTCTGCGTAGCAAGAATTGCGGGTCCCCCCTTTGCAAGTTGCTCGCACCACGGTCTGTCCTCCGTGGCTGTTGTTGTGATGTGACACAAACGCCTGTCGGTCGGCTCGTCAACGTGCTGTTCCCTTGCAGATGCCCCACCCTGGGTCACCCCGCTGTGTTCCCCGTCCCCCAGCCCGGTGCCCGTGGGACAGACACGCCGGTATCCGCCGCAGCCTCATACCGTCTTGCACCAGCTTCTGGACGTCCTCTCCTCGGAACGGATGACACACTCCTGTCCATCCGCGGTCGTAAGAGGGGCTAACGTCTGGTGTCGCGACAGCTGCTCCTAGCCCCCCCTTGGTTCTTCTGTGATCTTTCAGATGAACTTCTGAAAGATTCCGTGCCCCCCACCTCCCAAAACAGTTGTCTTTTGACTACTGTATAAACTTCTAATTATAGGGGCGCCTGCGTGGCTCAGTCGGTTGAGCATCTGACTTCGGCTCAGGTCATGACCTCGCGGTTTAGGAGTTCGAGCTCTGCGTCGGGCTCTGTGCTGACAGCTGGGAGCCTGAAACCTGCTTCGGATTCTGTGCCTCCCCCTCTCTGCTCCTCCCCGACTCATGCTCTATCTCTCTCTGTCAAAAATAAATAAACACTTAAAAAAATTTTTTTTAAATTAATTCTAATGATAAATTAGTCCTTAAAGAATTAGCCTAATTAGAACATCTTCCCATCCGTCGTTTGTCTCCAGTCCTCATTCACTCACATAACATCTGCATTGTACATTTTACCACATCTGAGCACCAACCGTAATGTTATTCACCTCACAGTTTTGCTCAGATTGACTTCCTTTCAAAACATACATACCAACTTCTGCTTCTCCTTGCCTTGATATCACTGAATTCCAAGGTTTCATATACTAAATATGATTTTGTAATGCAATTAAGATGAACGTATAATAGTCAAAACAGACCCGTCTGTGTGCCCCCCAAGGTCACCACTGGCCCGTCTCACACCGGCCAGTCCCGCCCGGGAGACCGTGGCCAGGGCCTCGGCAAGGTCAAGTTCTCCCTGAGAACCCCTCCCCATCTCTTTGCAGCGGGCCGAGCAGCCTCCTTGTCTCTCTTCCTACTGACCTGTTGGTATTTGTTTTATTTGGTTGTTATATACTTTTTGTCTGCTTTGTCGTGTTTGGTTTTACGCTTTCCACTTTCCACTTAACGATGCTTCTTAACATTTTCCTGCTGGAGACCCCATCTTCTTTCTTTTCTTCGGAGTCGTGGAATCTACATCATGGCCTCTGTGTTACTTCTTCTGTTAGGTTGGTGCTCACGCCTCCCGAAAGGCATTCTCGCATTTGTGTTTCTTCGCTTGTTAGAGTCCATGAATCTCCGTATCCTCGTGTACACGTTTTACTACAATGACAGCTGTGCAATTTAAATAAAGCTGGAGATTTGTTTTATCAGCATAACAAAAACGATTCTATTAGTAGCTGAAATTTTAATAGCTCTGTTGACATAATTTTTATCTTTTGAACTGAAACGCGTAGGGAAGAAATCATTTTAGCACGAAGTTAAGCTGGCTAGTCATTCGGAGTTAGTTGTGAGACGGTCACAGCTGCATTTCAATTGATTGGCATCTCGACTTGTCACGGTGATGCTGAAAAGGCAAAAATTCTTCAGGTTATAAAGGTATTTCTTTTTTTTTTTTTTTTTAAGTAATGAGAACAGAGAAGGTGTGGTCATACAAAATGTTGAAAAAGATTAGAGCTTTAAATCCTTTTCTGCTCTGTGTTCTGTCACTTTAGAAGAGGACGAACACGGAACCCTCGTCCCTCAAGTGCGTCGCCATCCCGCTGGCGAGAAAGAAGGGTAGCCCGCCTTTGTTGCCTCAGTAAGGACTAATATTCCTATGTTATAGATGAGAAAACCAAAGCTAAGAGACTAGCTGACCAGTCGAAGGTCAACAAACTGAGGAAAACTCAAAACGTCACCCCTGATCCGGTGCACCTGTCTACGCAGCCAGTGCGTGCAGCCATTGTAGACGTCCCTGATTAAGTGGTCCTCGCGTTTCTGGGAGGTGGCCCGCCCCGTCTGCAGGCAGCTCCCAGCTCAAGGCCGCTCCTGTCCTCTGCTGGCATCTGCCTTCCAGAAGCATCTACCCTTGTCTCCCCCACCCCCCACTGTACTTTCACAGAAGCAGCCTCCCATTGAGAAAAGCTCCTAAGTATCGGAGAACTATCAGTCCCTCCACGTTCACGGCTTTCCCACTTTTGATCTTTCAAACTCCATTTACTGAGCACCCAGGATCGTGACCCGCTTCAACTTTTATTTAATTTGGTGTTATTGTTTTCTAATCTGTCATCCTCAAGTCTGACGAATAAATACTTTTAGCCCCGAGACTTCCCTCTGTTGCCAGAGGCCTGGCATTTGGTTCGTTGGTTGGTTGGAGCTGGGGGTCTGGGGTCGCTGGATTCCAATCCCAGTTCCCAGAATGGGGCCTTTCTGGAGCAGAAACGGCCATCGCAGCTTATCAGTACACTGTGAGAACTGACACTGTCCGGGTGTTCAGCATGGTGACTGACTTGTGCCATATGTCAGCACGTGGTGTTTGTTTTATTTTGTTTTACTTCCATGGCACGGAAGTCCTGCTAGGAGCTTCGTGCGGGGCTGGGACCACGGAGCTGTGGCTGCCTCACCACCTCCCCCACACAGGGTCCGGCAGCTCCCGGAGCCTTCACCTCAGGGCCCCGTTTAGTTCAGGGAAAGGGGGCTGGGAGCGAGGGGGCTGAGACCGCCTTCCTGCAGATGCCTCGCAGGACGGCCCCCACCTGGACTTGGGAGGCAGCTGTCCTGTTCCTCATAGGTTTGACAACAGCAAATGTGACTGAGCCTACCCCACGCCGGCCCAGGACACGCAGAGGGGTGAGCTAGGGGCAGCCTCGATTTCCTTGAGTTACTTGAGAAAGAATGAGCACTTCATGTGGGAAGTGAGGGCTCCGGGTCCCCAGTCCAGACCCACACTGTCAACGAGCCTGTGAGTCTGGGCCAGCCGCTTCCCGTTCCTCCGCTCCCTGCCACATAAAAGTTTGGGACCACACACTTGCTGGCATCCTGAGGTTCTACCCACCTGCTAGAATTCATCAGTTCATAGAAAGGGGTTCCACCTGAGAGTCTGGGGTCAAGCGGAGGATTCCACGGGTCCATTTCATCCCTGCTCAGGAAGAAGAAAGGGCACCTCCTTCCCGAAGGTCGGCGGGCCTCCAGGCTCCCGGAGTTCCTGTGTATCTTCAAGGTTTTAAAATTACCACCTCTGGTTCCTATTCCTCTCTGACATTGCAGAATGGTTATTACTGATGATTAACCAAATGAACGTTTAAATTTTAGAAGTCAAGCCACTTTTAAAGGCCCATTTTATACAATTTATGACACTTTCTCCCTCTTTACCCTCATAATTCCGAAAGCTTTTATAAGTATAAATGTGTGCTAGGATTCACTTCAGGTTTTTCCCTTCTATTTACAGCAGGTACGGGTGCTTTTGGTTTTATTAAGCCTTTTAGCACTATTTAACTTTTAAACTAAGCATGTATTGCTTTTAAGAACTAATCCAATAAAGACGTTCAGAACTTGAGACATGAAAATAAAACGTGATCCCGCTATTTAAAGAACCATCATGAAAATGCCGACGTATTGCTTCCCGGCCTGTTCGTCTGCCTCTCCTGATGCTTCCTGCGGGTTTAGTAACATACGCGCCTCTTGTCTCTTTCTGTTTGTCCAACCCAAGGACAGCATTTCCCATATTATCAAAACATTCTTCAAAAACGTTGTGTCCATGTTACATACACGTTAACAACAGGACAGCAAAAACCAAAATGCTTTCAGGCGCCCTCACCCACGTGGGCGGTACAGTCCCGTGAGGGACGCAAGGCTCGAAGTGTTTCCCACCTCCAGTTGAGGATCCACAGCTCAGAGGTGGGACGGAACTTGGGTGGTTCCGCTCACAGGCTCGGGTACCATTTATCAGCTGTGTGACCTGCAGCCCAACAGTGAATCTGAGATTTACTGAGTCCAAAGGTCACGTCACCATAGGGGTCCTGCTTAAGGAAAAGAATAAAGACCTCACTCTTGAAAACTTTTCTAAAACGTGATCCTGTGAATAAATTGCTTTCACCCCTCCCATGGCCATGCAAAGGCCCCGTGCACACGAAGAGCCCAGAGCTCAGGCTTCACTTGCTTTAAGATAAATAAATCTGCCTCCGCCTGGGCAAGAGACTTAACCTACCTTCATCTGCAAAATGGGGACAACAGAAGTGACTTTACCTTTTCTTAATTTGGGACAACTGAAATTCTCGATTACATTACCAGACCACACTCTGCACTCTGCAAGCTCCTTTCTTTTGCTAATAATAATAATAAAACAAAACAAAACAAAACAAAACAAAACCATGGCCACCTCGGGAAGTTCTTGGGGAAAGCGTCCTGTGTCGGGAAAAGTAATTAACCTCTGGGGTCCTAAAGGAGCCTGGGAAAGTCTAGGCAAAAACTAGGGAGGTGGGTCTGTTTAAAAACAGAACTGGACTTTGCGAGTTTTATCATGTCTTGGCTTATTAAATCCACTAATTGAGAATTAAATTTTCCAGATTGTTACTTTTATAACAGCACTCGAGTGTCAGAAAATCCCCTGACCGGTCAGCACTGGATACAAGTAGAGAAGATACGAAGTGACTGTGGGTTAAGCACCACCCCACCCCAAACTAAGTACGTTTGCTTAGTGCTTTGTAATTTACAGCGAGTTACCTTTCACCGTCATTATCCATCGGCTCAAACAACCCCCCGAGGCAGGTGGGACGCTGGATACTAGCCTCTTCTCAGAGACCAGCGTGCTGAAGCTGAGCTCGGCTGGGGGGTCGGGTCTGTCAAACATCACCCTCCTAGACTCTCAGGAGGCCCTTCGATTTTGTGGGCGTCTTCAGAAAACCACCCGATCTTTGCATAGGTGTTCCTGAAGCACTCTGGTCTACGGAGGGCGGCCCGGGCTGCATGGAATGCCAGTGGGCACCTGACCACAGGCAGCTCTCCATGAATTCGTCGGGTCGGAGTTTGAGCTTATCCTCCAAGTGGGCTCAGATGTGTGATTTCATTGAACACCTGCAGTTACGGCCGGGTACAGATCTGCTGGGGGAGAAGGACACCTGTCAGTTCCACAAAGTGTCACACACACCGTCCTGGGAATGACCCAAGGACCCCAGGGACTCTCAACAACATGGGTTTCTGATTTAACCTACCTGAAATCTTAACACTGCAGGTAGGAGGGCAGGATGTGTGCAGGCCTGTCCCCCAGCAGGAGCAACCCTGGGTGGGGGAGCCCCCATTTACCCGTGTGCGGGCCTCACTAGCAGTGGACGCTGAGGAACAACTTTACTTTCATGGTGTTGTTTGAAAAAGGAAACCCCACTTGGCCCAATCGGGAGGTTATTAAATTCCTGGAAACGGAGCTGAGAGGCCAGCAAAAAAGCCTGTGGTGTTGGCAACACGTAAACGCGGAGGCCCTGGGAGTCCTCTCCCTGTCTGCCCTGGCCTTTATAGGCCCTGAGCAAGGCCATTCCCGGCCAGGACCCTCTCCACGGAGAACCTCCTTCCTCCGGGCACCCCCTCCTCACCCACAGATGAGTGGGACGGGAGCCCACAAACCAGGTTGAAAAAGACAAGAATTCACTAGAGTACTAGGCGGTGGCTCTCCAGAGGACTTGCCACCGCCTCTGCCCCATCTCCCTCTCTCTGTCTCACGCACACCCCAGACTCAGGGAAGCTGACACAAACATCCTGACGAAATAACCACTCTGAGCGCCTTCTAAGCCTCATTTCCCCGAGGAAGTAATCAGCACCTCTTCTCCAAGACAGCTCCAGGTGAGCAAGAAGGGAACACCTTCCCGTGCTCAAAAGTAAAGGCGTTTGCGGCACTGCCCACTGATTCCGGAGCGCGCTCGCATCTACTGTCACAGTCAATTCTCCGAACCCACGAGGTGGCCGGGGCAGGT